GGTGAGAATCTTTGTCTTCTTGATATTGAGCCTTAATCCATATTGAAAGCTGCAATCCTTGACCCTCTGCAGCAAATGCTTCAAGTTCTTCTCCATTTCAGCAAGCAGGGTTGTGTCATCTGCATAATGCAGGTTGTTGATGGCTCTTCCGCCAATCCTGATGGCACACTTATCCTCATAGAACCCAGCTTCCTGGATAATCTGTTTTGCATATAGGTTGAAAAGGTTTTGACATAGGACACATCCATGCAGTATTTCCTTGCTCTGTTCTGATGACTGCCTCTTGTTCCAAGTATAAGTTTCGCATTAGCATGATCAAGTGTTCTGGGATTCCCATTCTTCTCAGAGTCAGCCACAGTTTGTTAATCCACACAGTCAAATGCCTTTGCATATTCAATGAAACACCTTCCTCACGTATTCCCTGCTTTCAGCTAAGATCCATCTAACATTAGCTACAATATCCCTAGTAAACTTCTAAAGCCAGCCTGGACTTCTGGCAGTTCTCTGCTGATGTGCTGTTCCAGTTGTTTTTGGATAATCTTCAGCAGAATTTTGCTTAAATGTGATATCATTGATATTGTTTGATAATTTCTGCACTCAGTGGATCACTTTTCTTTGGAATGGGAACAAATATAGATCTCCTCCAGTCAGTTGGCCAAGTGGTTGCTCCCCAGATTTCTTGGCACAAGAAATTTCTGTAAAATGCTTGTCTGTCAGTTACTTCTCTAAGTCTAAGCATTCAGATTAAGACAGACTAGGAAGAAGGATTGGCCATCCACTTCCAAAATAGCAGGCCTCTGAAAACCCTGTGTACAACAGAACACACATAGACTAACAGGGTAGCTGAGGTGGAGTTTTCAAGTATGGAAATATAAAGGAAGAGGAACAGTCGTAAGCAGACACTAGTGTTTGGAACATGGAATGTGAGAACTGTAAATGTGGAAAAATTAGATATTGTTAAGGAAGAAGCGGAATGCATAAATATTGATATACCTAGGTATTGGCGAGATGGGGCAAAGATAGGCCTCGTTAAATAATTAGTGCTATAACACCTAGGAAATCCAGTGGAAAATCAGCTCTGATTGGGTTCAGACTTGACAGCAATGAAGAGGTTTTTTGTTTCTATACTTGATTTAGGGAGCTCTGGTAGCATAAACTGAAGGGAGTTGTGTTGCTATGTTTAAGAAAGGACCATTTTAAAATACAGATGCAATAAAAGAAAAGAGTGATAAATATATTATGTAAGTTTGTTGAGAGAGATCACAGTTGAAGATTCTTGATAGAAGTAACTGCAGAACAAAATTGAAAAACAAAAAAATGGATGGAGAAGAGATTGAGATTGTCCAGTTTTACTAGACTGATAGAGACTGGCGGCACTTGTATGACTCTTTAGTCATATGTGGCTCACTGTCACCTTTGAACCTAGAACAAAACTTACATGGTTCAACTTGAAGCCAAACAGTAGACTTAGGGAGTTCTGGTGCCGAAGTCACTGTGCTGCTAACACACAGTTCCCCCTGTCTATAGTGTTTCAAATCTACCAGCAACTCTGAAGGAGAAAGATGAACAATCTCCTTCTGTGTGATTTATAGCCCTGGAAAGATGACTGAGGGCCAGCTATGAATTAACAGTTGAGAAATGTGCAAAACTTCTACAGGGAAACTTTAAAATACAAAAGTAAATTTGAACAAATGGAAAGCTAGCCCGTTCTTGAGTATAATAGCTCATTGTTATAAAACTGTCAGTTTTTCTTATAGTAATTTATATGTTTAATGCTATTCTAATAAAAGTACCCAAGAAGTTCATTTTTATAATAAAAGTATCTACCAGTTTGACAGTTTGATAATAAAGTTCATAATGGAGAAAAATGAAATATCAGTAATGGAAGTTGATTTTTGTTTTTGGTTTTTTAAGGATAACTGGGATGATGATGATGAAGAAGAAAAAAAAGAAACTGAAGAAAAACCAGGTGAGCCACTGGGGCTCCTCCATTTTTGGTGTTATGTCTTGGTGAGCATCTGGAGTATATATGTTGAAACATGATTAAATGCTTACGTATGGAAAGTTTTGATATTTAGAAACCAGGAATCCTTCCAGTTCACTTTGTTCTCTCTCCTTGTACCTGTTCTCTTTTCCCCCAGGCATTATTACATTTTTGTTACGTTTTGAGTGTTTCTTTTCTCTTTGCAAGGATTCTGGTGACCTTTTGTCTGGTAGCCAAAAGACCATGCCCCTTTGGCAGTTTGAAACCACTAGCTGCTCAGTAATAGACTTACAGTGTCCAAAACCCCCTGGAGGGTCAGCTGTGAGTCATCTCCAGCTGGACAACAGTGGCTTTTCTCTTAGGCTTTTCCCTGTGAGTGGGTGTTCTTACAGGAGAGAATAGAGAGTGTAGCATTATAGTTTGGTCAGTGACCAGAGTGGAGGAAAGAGTCCCAGAACTTTATTTTCACTTTCCAGGAGTTCATTACATAAAATTGGAGCTAAGGAACTGTTTATAGTCTTTTAAAGTACATCCATAAACTGAAAATATAACAGCTGTAATTAAAATGTTCTTTATTTGTAGAAGTAAAGATTTCAGAAAAGAAAAAAATAGCAGAAAAGATTAAAGAAAAGGAACGGCAACAAAAGAAAAGACAAGAAGAAATTAAAAAGAGGGTAAGTAAAATTTAGAGTCTTTGTGTTGTGTAAATAGTTAATCATACTCAGCCACTAAAGACTGCTCCCAAAAAACTGAAGGTTCCAGTTTACCTGGAGGTGCCTTGGAAGAAAAGCCTGGCAATCTGCTGAAGGGAAGAAACAAAATAAGCTGCTGAAAACCTTATGTGCGTGTTGAATGAAAATCTTAAGTTTAAGGTTGCCATAGTCGGGGCACATTTGATAACAACTGCCCCTGGTACTATTTTTTAAAATACAGAATTCTCACATCAGTAGTGGTTTAGGGGTCAAAGAAGCAGCAGAGAGTACAGTTTGAAGGGAAGAGTAAAAATTATAAATAGATACCATTAGATAGTTGAATCCTCAATTTGTGGGTTTTGCACAAACAGCCCAGAAGTTTGAATGTATTTCACATTTCACTAAACATTTGGGAATAATCATGATTGATTTTAGCTTATATTTAGTAAAATACAAAGTAAACATTTTTTTCTGCCATGTACTATAGCAGTGTTTTTGTTACTCAATTATATGTTGAGGAAAATACATTTTTATGATTCAAAAATTAAAGCATATTAAGTACTGCCAACCCTTCACTTACCTATTTTTCCACCTCTCCAACCCATAAGTAAAGAGTTGTTTTTTTGTGGATCTAGGGGTTATTTTTTGCCAAATACAGTGCTGTATTCTTACCCTTCTCTTTCATTTACACACTATTTCTATCTTGCCATTTATTTAACATATAGAGAGCTTTCCTTCCAAGGCCACAGAAAATATTTTTAATTCTTTTCCTGATGCAAAGAAAATTTTCAAGCTATAATGAATAATTTTCATATAGTATATACAAATCACTAATAAAAACTAATAATTTCAGCATTTTATTTGCTTCATCTTTTTCCTTAAAATATAATCAAGTAAAAGAAGATACGTAATCAAGTAACAAATGTGATGTGATTTATTTCTAAATACTTCAGCATGCACCTCGGGGAAAAAACAGTATCTTTCATGATTAAAAGAGCATCATCTTACTTAATGTGTAATTCTTAAACATCATCTAATTATGAATATATATGCATTTTTTTCCTATAATATATAAAAATATCTCTTACATACAAGGATCATGCAGTGTGTTCGGTTGGTAATGTATCCTTCTTTAGTTCCTAGAATATCTGTTTTTCTCTTTAAATGACATTGACTTAAAAAGAGATCAGGCTTCTTGTCTTGCAATTTCCTGTAATTGTGGAAATCTGAAATTTCAGACTCTAAAATATTTAGGCCAGTAAACACTCTTTTGGGCGGAGATCAGAATACTTTAAGAAAGTAACAATTTATGCTTCATTTTAGGAATTATGTAATGTCTGTCCTATTAATAGCAATGCAAAAATTGATTGCTGGTGTGGTGACACCCTGATCCTTCTATTATAAAATTACTCTTTGTCCTTACAAGCATGACTTTTATTAGCATCCTTAGGAGAATGGGCAGAGAACTGAAGAGCAGGACACATCCAAGCTCATGTCCTGCTAGAAGGCACATACACGCTGGACCCAAGTCCTCAGCCACACAGCCAAGGTCACATAATGCTGTCCAGAGATGATTAGGCTCCAAAATGACTTTTATTTCTTAACCAAAAGATCTGTTTCACATCACCTTTTTCCTGTCAGTTTTACTTGATCTCTGATTTCATTAGAGACTGCAAAATGGTGATTTGAATTAGTAGTTTTCAGAGCAAGGGGTGGATATAATATTTTCAAATATTGAAAAATGAGGGATTTTTAAAATATTTCTTTATGGGTAAATTCATGTAGTGTTAGACTTAGAAATGCATTATTTTTACTTAGATATAGTGATCATTTGCTTTTTCCTCAGGAAAAATGATTTCTCGATGTTTAAATCATCAAATGTTAAGTCAGTGGGAGTCCACTTAGGTTTATCCTTGATTTCATCCTTATTTTTATTCTATAGCTAACAATACAGAGTTTACAGTTTTTCTTTTATACTAAAAATTATGGATTATAATATATAAATATTTATTTGCATTTTGTTTTAACACAGATATTGCCATCAAAAACATAAAATACCTAAATTAATTTTATGGTTTCTTTGCAGTACTTCAATCCTTGCCCATCATATTTTTTAAATGTATAAAGTTGTTTTTTTTTTATAATCTTACATGCTGTTGAGTTGCTTGCTACTCATAGCGACACTGTGTACACAGCCCTGATCCTGAGCTAACGTCTTTGTCCCTGACACACTTAGCCCTATTACCCTAGTCACTGAGTGAATTTATCTCATCCAGAGTCTTCCCCTCTAGTGCTGTCCCTCCTCCCTTCCAAGCATGATGTCCCTCTCCTCATGCTGGTCCCTCCTTGCAAGATGGATAATTTCAGGAATTGTGAATTATCGACACATCAGATTACCAGCTTAATAAAAGGCTAGAAAGTGTGTCATTATTTGAGTAGTGAAGTTCTCTTTTGAGAATATAGGTTTCAAAATTTTAAAATTGCACTCATTTTTTAAAATACTCCCTACTTAAATCCACAAATTTGGAAGATCAGAACTAAGTACAGGCAATCCTAAATAACTGTATAAATTGGTAGCAAGTTCTTAATAAATTTAACATTTCTGTAGGGATTGAGCACACCCAAAACATACAGGCAGATCCTTTCAGCAGACCTTACTATAGAACCATACTAGATGGGTTTTTTTTCCTTGGTAACACAAAATCTGAAGGGTGAGGAATGTTGTTTTAGATTCTGAACAGTATGTAGTACTGGTAAGTTAGAAACCAAAATTGGGCACTTTAACTGAAAGGCAGTTTTAAAATGCCGTTGAAAGTCTAAGCGTAAATCTACTAAGTTAACCATAAACTTAATAAAGTAAGAGTTTGTGAAGAGCATAAACAGGAAAAGTATTAATAAATTTAAAAAACCAAAATCCAAGAGAGTCATCTAAATAAGAGCTCTATAACCATGACCTGATCCTCCTAGTCTGCAGTCTGACATCACTCTGACTCATGGTGAACCTTTGTACCTCACGGAGTAGAGCTGAGCTCCAAAGGGTTTTCAGTGGCATTTTATTGGATGCAGCTTGCCAGGCCTTCTGATCACCTTCACTCCTTATTATTGGGAACACTCATGGAATATTTTATATGTAAAATTCCAACACTGTGGGCAGGCATAAAAATAACACTTTTTTCTCAGAGTATACATAAGATCCTAAAACATCCCTTAAAAATACAGAATTGCTGAAAGTATGTAGTTTGAATCCACTAGATGCTCGGCTGGACAAAGAGAAACAATCTCCTGTGCCAGTCTGATCTGATTTGATGGTGTATTGTTGTTGTTGTTACGTGCCATCAAGTCGTCTGCAACTAATAACGACCCTATGTACAACAACTCTAAACCCTGCTCTATCCCTTGCCAGTCTTTTCTCTGACACATGCATCCCCATTACTCCAGTGACTGAATCAATCCATCTTGAGGGTCTCCCTCTCCTGCTCTGTCCCTCCACCCTCCCATGCATGATATTCCTCTCCAAGAATTGATCCCCCCTTGCAGCATGTCCAGAGTATGTCAGATGAAGCTTCAGAATCCTTGCCTCCAAGAAGCAGCCTGGCTTCACACTCTCTAGGACGAACAAACTTGTTTGTTCTCCTAACAGTCCATGGTATGTTCAGTACTCTTCCTCAGCACCAAAGGTATCAACTCTCCTATCATCCCTAGTCATTGTCCAACTCTCTGATGCATAGCAAATAATTGCAAAGACCATGGCCTGGATCAGGTGCACTTTAATCTCCAGACTGACATCGTTGCTCTTCAGTACTTTGGAGAGGTCTTCTTGACAGCAGACTTTCCTGGCTTCTGGTACCAAGAGAGTTGCCTGTAGAAAGCAAACTGAAGCTGTCAACAATCTCAGTATCTTCATCATCCATCATGATGTTGCCAATTGGCCCAGTGGTGAGAATCTGTTTTCATGATGTTGAG